AAAAAAAAAAAAAAAAACAAAACAAAAATACAAAAATATTTCGCTTTAAGAGGGTTAGGCCTACCCTAAAATTAAGGAACGCTCGACCTCGACACGTGATATCGAAATGGGCGAAATCGCCTCTTGATATCACTAACTCTCCTGACTCCTGAGCACATGTTGACCGCTGGCAACCCCAACAGATGAGACTGCTGTGCTGTCCGACCAATAGCCTCCTTACAACGGGCCATGACGTCCTAGTGACGTCACATTAACCAGCTGTAGTACGAGTGCCACCACTGTCCCCAGAATGTAGGCCGCCATGCTATATGAGGGGAGGTGTCATGGCTTCACGCACTAGGAGGATAGTCTTGATGACATGGCACAACCCATGTCCTCTTTTGGTTTAAATTTTATTTCCAGCATTCACGTATGTAGACCTAATCCTGGAGAGGGTAGACTCGAGAGGCGGAGGCCTACGCCATCGCATTGGAACTCCGGAGCCTCTCTCGCCTGTCTTGGACCGTGATGGGATTTTCTGTGCTAGTCGGCTTTCTTGGATTCTGACTAAGTCAGTCTTATCTTTAGGATCTTCGTCAATATGGGCGCCATTTTGTCTACTTCCAACGTGTTGAAGTGATTAAGGTAGTCAAAGGAAGTGTTTTTCCGAACGGGGTTGTGACTCAGTTGGGCAACATGAAAATGACCTGTACTGAAGGTGAAGGTTGATATTTTTTTATGTTGGAACGCCAAGAGGCATATGTTGTCAATTATGACATCACATGTAAAGGTCTAGCGTTAATGCAAGATTAGGTAGGCCCTCCCAACTTTAAAAGTATTTTTGCTTGTAGGATATCCATCCACTTCCTCGTTACTTACAGATACATTCCTACACTTATGAATATATACTTTTTTTTTAATCCTTTACAGATCCTATTGAGAAACATGTCATGATGACTTGGAAAGAATCTCTTTTCCTCTTTGGCCTATTAGGCTGTTGCAATGCCTTGTATTTCCACATTGGGGAAACAGAACGGAAATGCTTCATAGAGGAACTCCCCGACGACACCATGGTTGTTGGTAATATCACCTTCTCATCTTCCATGAAAGAATTGCAGGATACAGTGGTTATTGACTATGTAAAGCCTCCAAATGAGAGCTTGGCTTCTACAATCAAACCCAGATGTAAAGACATGATATAGTGCAACTGGGTTTCCATGGTCAGCATCCCAGGAAGCCTTGCCAACATCTGGTTCTATTGGACTCCCTCAGACAGTTATTAATATCCTGATAATGGTTAATTTGGTTTTTGAAGGACTGGCAACATTGGCTATAAAAAGCCTCAGGGATGTCAAGATCTTTCAGTAGTATGGAAAAAGCTGAGAAAGGAATTGGACTCTTATAGTACCTCCTGAATGAATTCCAGTAATTTTTTAATATTTGGCATCATTTAGTTCATGTTGAAATGGCTCTCAATACCTGATTTGATGGAAAGTGTACTTGCACTAACCTTCTCTTCACCTTAACCTAATGCTATGAGATGTATGTTTTTTTCAACAGGAAATTATAAGGTGGAATTATATGACCCAAGAAGCAAAGGATTCATGCCGTCCAACCCTGGGATTGGGATGCATGTTGAGGTCCGGGATCCCTCTGACAAGATCATGATGTCCAAGGTGAATTTTGCACCCCTTAAAATTTCCATGTACAGTGGTTTTAGAGTGACTGTTACATGATAGGCCTGTTTTACATGTATTAAACCTAATATTCAGTTTTTGTGAGGTTTTCATGCACTGGTATTTGAAGGTGTTGTTAAGATAGACTTCGGTATGGTCTATCTAACCCAACCTTGCTACTCTTTTGATCCTCAAAGGGGTCATTAAATGTTGCCTGTCTTCTCTGGAAGAGAGGGGGTAATTTTCCCTTTGACACCTTTGTTAGGCAGCAGTGTCCAACACCTGCGGGAAAGGTGGCATCATGTACAAATGGCCATGATGTTGTAATGTGCATCATGTGATGATTTTGCATCATGCTCTTTATGTTGCAATGATGAATATTGGGTCAGCATTATGTCCACAGAACTGAAAGTCAGCTTTGAATTTTTTGTTTTTACTGGGTCTTCTCAACATAAAAGTGAGAGATATTGGCCTGGCCTATCCCTAATGGCCTCCAAGCCCCATTCCAAGGACTTCACAAGTAGGGTATGCTACCAGATTAACCCCTCAAGTGTGTGTGACATCATATGCTGTTCTCATGCTAACTGATGGACATGCAGCTCTTGTGCTGGAGTTGCCAGAAAAAGTCACACTTGAGAGGCTAAAGGACTGGCAGGAAGGACGTCATGCAGGCACAGCTAGGTTGGGCTGGATATCTGTTTGCATTTGACTCGCCTTCCTACCAGAATCAAGCAACAAAGATTAAGGGTCTCATTGGATATAGATGCCATGAACTGATTCCTTGTTTTAAGCAAGGGAACTGTTGGTTAAGGAGGTCTCAGGTAGAAACACAAACTTTGGGTATTGCAGAGCCCTATAACACGATGTATAAATGACGGAGATTCACAGTAATAGGTTAATTTCATGGGGAATCTGGCAGGACCAAAATAATCATTGGTACCAGTACTTGTGCCCATTCCATGGTGCAAATTTTTTTGCATTGAAATGACTTGTGCTTTGAGAAATTTGGTGAACATTTTTTGCTCTTTAACCCCACTAACAGTGAACCTCTGAAGGGTTGAACAGGTTGAAAGGACTCCCTTCCTAAACCCCCATGAGCATTCAGCTAGGTATGACATTATTACAGGCTTCATTATAAGATGCGAGGACTATTCAAAATCATCACCAAGAAACAGCTATATTCATGAGACTTTCATTAGGAACTTAAATTAAAATGAAATGGAATTGATTTGGGTTTCAAGGTCCTGAGATGACTCCTAGCAGTGAAAACTTTAAAAAAGCCCATATAAAATGAGGAAGAAAGTATCAGGCAGTGTGTGAATTCCATTCACGTCTTTTTATCATCACTTGTGCCCATGAACTTTTTCATTTTGCACCCTTTTGAAGCAATGCCAAGACAGCATTTGAAAACAGTGTCAAACTTTGCCCATATGACTAACTTAGATCAAAGTGTCATGCATAGCTACCACTACAACTTGTGAGTATATGTACTGGGACTAATCAATTGGAATTAGTAAAACTGACCCCAATAATCATGGAAATGATGCATCATGATGTCATATTTAAATCTTAGATACATTTGTGTAGCACTGAAAATGTAATTGGCATCACTACTTGCAAAAGATTACATACAATGTAATCTTGTAAAGATGGCTTCCTCTATTGAAGGGGGAAGGGGGAAGTACATGAAGAATGGCTTCCAAGAAACATCAGAGGGCAGTGGTATAGTTTTTGTGTGCAGAAGATGCAAAACCACTTTATATCCATCACTGGATGGTTGCTGTATTTGGTGAGACTTGTTTGTCCCAGAAATGAGTATATAAGTGGTGCAAATTGTTTTGTAGTGGACACTTTTGTTTTAGGGACTAACCCCAACCCAGACGAGCCAATGTTGTCATAACAATGGTGGACAAGGTAAATAGTGGAAACAGATGCATAATTATTGATGGTGTAGTCACAGAAGTGGGGGTTAGCCATGATGATTATACATGTATGCAATCATCCAAGGTTGCTTCCAGTTCCATTTGGTGTTTGCCAAGGAGATACTGAAGTATCTGACTAAAGAACAGAAATTGCCAGAGTTGTGGTACATGATACAACCTGGTGTCAGCATTTTGATGTTGACACCTCATGAAGAGGGCATCAAGGGACTGGTACTACCACTCTGATGATGACCTGGTAGAGTGAGAACATGGAACCACCAGATGCCAATGTTCCACAACAATACCATAAAAAATCACTCATTGAAGTACTCCTACTGCTCTACCTGCAGTAGGAGTGCTCCAATGAGTGTGCATATTGAGTCACTTGGATCATGTCAGTGTTCATGTTTTCTTTCTGTAAGTTGAAGCATGTTCTTACATTATAATTTTTGTAGGTGTACAGTGCTGAAGGGCGGTTTACATTCACATCACATGAGCCTGGGGAACATATAATCTGCCTGTACTCCAACAGCACCAAGTGGTTCTCTGGGGCTCAGTTGGTGAGTTCATTACCAAAATGAATAATTCCATTGAGGTCAGTTTAGTTTACAGATGCAATTAGGGCTGTCAGAAGGCATCTTTTTTTTTATCAAAGTCACTGTTGACAGTTGGGGGCATTAGTGATTTTATCAGTTATTGCAATGTCCCTTACCCTTTCTCTTGCACAGAAACCTTCCCCCCTAATTAAAAGTCAAATAAAAAACAGAAGCAAACTACTCTGATATGATAATGAGAGGGAGGGATTAGAAGGTGTCACCTACTCAGTGATAATGTCAAGGGATGATGGAATCTGCCAGCAAATTCTCTGCTTCTCCACTGTATTCAGGGGTGGTAAATAACTTTCCCAATGCATCAATAGTTCCGGTTGGCTTATCAACTCTTTCAAAATGGTGATTGTGACACCCCTAGTGCTATATTCCTGAGAAATTTTTACACTGTTTCTGGATTGAATTCCCTGTTGTGGAGGATGGGGAAGACACATTACTTCCAGACAATTTGCAAGATGTTGAGCCTGTTGCTCTGCAGAGCTGTCAAATCAATGGTGATGATTTCCCTTTTGGGATGACCATAGAGAAGGAAATATGCTTTTATTCCCTGTCAAATAAAATGAGGTTAATAACAAGAAAAACCATGGAAAGAAATTCTCCGGTTTTCAAATTTAGTTCTTCTTAGAAAATGGCATCCCATCTTTGAACATCACTGCATGTTGTTGAATATCATGTGTACAAAGACAACTGAAGCCTGCAGGCCCCTCAGTAGGAAGAGGCTTCGTGGAATCTCGACTTCTTGCAGAAATTATTGCACCATTTCAGGCTTATGGATATTTGGCCTCCTAAAAGATTAGGATGGCCACATGCATCAAATACCTCTTCATGGCCTGTTTTCAGCCCTTCTCAGCAGAGGAAGTCCCAACACCACACATTCAATCTCACATGGAATGGACTCAGCATTGCAGAAACAGTAGAGATGGGACAAAAACATTGTCAATTGTGGCTGTGACTCTTGGCTTCACCTCTGGTGGCCAGGGCATATTATAAGAAAAAAGCAGAACTGCACGAATGATTATTAGGAGTGGTTGTTACTGTGCTAAATGCCTCCCTCCCCACCTTCATTTTTTCAATGCTAAAACACCTAAAAAGTGTTGAAATTGTTAAATATTTTCCCCAAATGTTTGTTTCAAATGCTATTCTTGCCCATTTTTGAACTGCACAAATTCCAATTCAAATCTACACAATAAAATATACCCTGCTGGTGGTTATGGTAAGCCTCTACTATATCCCATTCCCTGTCCTTTGAAAAACCTTACTTGTTTCTGACTACTATACCTTGTTATATTGGTTAACTCTTCTCTGCTGTCAGAAACCTAGATCTCCCTGACAAAAATGAAAATTTAAAAGGAGATGCAATCCTTAGCAACAATCTCAATTACCTATCAAGTCCCAGGCATAATCTGTAAAGGAGAAATAATCCAAATCACCATTTGTATGATTTATATGATCATGAGTTTCACCAGATATGAATCTAAGTAAGCAACCTTGCAGGGCTCCACAGATCAGGAATTGGATACCCATGAAGGGTTCTACTAACACTTAACCTTCCATCCAAAGATATTCTGCCAGCACTTGATGGAAGTGATCTTAAAGGGGTGGGGGGGATCATGAAGTATTGTTTGTACACAAAGTAGTAGAGAGTGAAAATCCTGGTCTTTGGTAATGGTAACCATTAGTGTTATTTCATCATAGAGACCTTCTCAAGTTAGTCAGATTGGATTGAAGAATTAAAGCCTCTTTCCTTTAAAGATGTTAGCATGAGAGATATTGATATTTATGAAAGAGGTGTCTGTTTAGCTAATGTTTTGCTAAAGGTATGACTTTTAAGTTGTCAAAAATATTTGATCCTACAGTATTATCACAGCTAGTGTGCAGTGATGCCAACATGAACTTGTTCTATCAATATCTAGTGACATGAAAAATAGCATTCAATGTTTGAAATGACCTGGGAAGTCTTTATTTTAAACAAAAAAATTATTTGTATGCAGAGAGTGCACCTGGACATCCAAGTAGGAGAGCATGCTATAGACTATGCCAATGTGGCCAAGAGTGAGAAGCTGAGTGAGCTTCAGCTGCGCATCCGCCAGCTCCTTGATCAAGTGGAGCAGATTACCAAGGAACAAAATTATCAACGGGTAACAGTGCCCATTTCTTCTTTGTCCCATAAGTCTTCCCTGTTTAGGGACCTAACACCTAAGAACAGTATTTTTGCTTGTTGGCTGTACTCCCTTCTCCACTGTTCAGTCTTGGAAAAACTAATTCTGACTCAAGTTGTCATGAGCATATTTACATTTTGGATCACATTCTTGAGTTAACACAAGTAAATTTGCAAATCATCCAGAGGGAAAATAAAGGCTAGTAATTGCAGGAAAATGTTGCCTATTAGGAGCGAAATACAGGGTGCCCATAAAAGATTCATACAATTTTAATCTTTAATAAATCACAAATGGATGAACATACATGTATGCAGTTTGCAGCAAACAAAAGCTTAATATTTCTAGTTTTATTACATGCATTTAAAATTTTAAAATAAAATGTTAAAACTACTTTTCAGCCTAGTCAGAAGTGAAATGGCAACTCCACAAGAGAAGGCAAGTGCACATTGTGGTTTGCAGAGTTGAAGTCACACAAGTTCAGAACTGTGTACAGCAAGGATCCTCCTGTCTGTGATTCAGCATATCAATAGATGAAGCAATTTAAGAGCACAGGAAGTGTGCTGAAAGAGAAGGGCTCAGATGGCATCTGCAAATCTCTACTGGCAGAGTTGACAAGACCATCTTGGGCTGCACTCAAAGGCTTCCTGTACATGTTCAACATTGGCATCCAATGTTGAAAGCCTGCAGGAGCTCTTTTCTCATAGACAGAAGGATCCTTGCCGTAAACAGTTCTGAACTTGTGCTGCACCTGTGCGACTGACTTCGACGCTGCAAACCACAATGTGCACTTGCCTTCTCTTGTGGAGTTGCCATTTCACTTCCGACAAGTTGAAAAATAGTTTTAACAATTTATTTTAAAATATGAAATGCATATTAAAAAAACTTGAAATATCAAGCTTTTGTTTGCTGCAAACCACATACATATACATTTTCTGTTCATGATTTATTAAAGTTTAAAGTTGCATGAATCTTTTATGGACACCCTGTATAATGAATTCCAGAAAATGGAGGAGGAAAATGAAACTTAAGTGCTCAAAGAGGAAAATCTGCCATTTTTATTTATGGAAGTTTTAGCAGAGATTGTATCAAACCAAAAGGGATGAGCCAACTTTTCCTGCCTGATATCTCCATTAAATTAAAATTATTCCCATTAGCATTATTACTTTTTTCATATAACTTTTTTTGGTATGTAAATATCTGTAGAGAACTTATAACAAGGAAACTTATTGGAAACCCAAGGACATTTACCAGTTGTCACAAGTTCTTTCCTCCATTTTTTGGTTCATATTTGAGTTGTTTCATAGTTTGGATGCAGTAATTTTACTATCAACATATGATGCAGGGTTCTTGATCCCTCATTTAAAAAAAAAATTTTTGTTGTTTATAGCAGTAGCTGAAGTGACCATGTTCAAGTGTCATGCAAGGCATGGTAAAAATTTTTATATTCAAATGGATCCTGTGATATGATATTATATATGTAATAAATTATGTAGGAGGTATACTGATTAGGCATTTCCTTGCTTGAGGAATTGTCATTAATGAATGGTCATCTTTATGGTCAAAAGAAATGCCTTGCCTAACAAGTTTACAAAGATGCAAGGACACTTGATGTCCTTAGCAATGCAATTAGAGAAGACTAGCTACCTCAGAAAAAAGGCAGTATGAAAAAAGTAGAGGCTTGAAATTCCTCTATAATTTAAGCTATCTATTATGCCTTGTTTAATCCTCAGATGTTTAAAAACTAGTGTATTTATTTCTGAATATAAAAGACAAAAATTGTGCAACTGTAAATAAAAATGCTAGTGTATTCCCAATCTACTAGATACATGCCATTTCATGAATTCTGTGTTGTTTTATCTTTTACCTGTTGATTCTGTTACCCAGTATCGAGAGGAGCGATTCCGTCAGACCAGCGAGTCAACAAATCAGCGGGTGCTGTGGTGGTCTGTGACACAGACCCTCATCCTGCTGGCCATGGGAACCTGGCAGATGCGTCATCTCAAATCCTTTTTCCAAGCCAAAAAGCTTGTCTAAGGTCTCTCACCACATCAAACGTGTTCCATGAATGTTCTTATCACTGAGAGTGTGTCTGTCCTTTTGAGACCTAGATGCAATTTGTGACTGGAAAAGTTAAGTTATGAATAAAAGACCTTTATTGACCACAATCAAGAGTTCCAATGCACAGTGTCATGTTCACTTCTTGACACTTGATTTTCTCAATTAACCCTTATCTAGGCAAGAACAAAATTTTGCATTTTTCCCTTGAAGAAAATCAAAAGTTAAATTTGTTTTTGGATGTATATGTCTATGAAAGATGTTTAAATTTTTGAAATTTTTGAAAAAATTGCCTGAGAGTAATGCAATGAAACATACCTTGGAGAGTCCAATGGACTCCTGTTTCCTGGATAAGGTACAATACATCATCAGCCATCAGGAAGCATAGGGAATGTGATCTTGGTGCGATTACATCTCTTATTCTTGTAAATTAATACAAACTGTTTGGCAATCCCTATTCCAGCCAGCAGATTTTACAGTCCGGTATTTTCATCCTCACTAGCACCTATCCTTACTCAGGGTCAAGGATGTTATTTAATATTTATGCTTGGTATGTACTGTACTGTACCTCAAATTTTTTTTTCCAGAAATCAAACCAATAAGTCTTTAAGGTCTTGGTACAAAGTCAATTGTATTGAAACCAAGAGACAGGAGATCCATCTTGGGGAGGTAAATTCACATGTATTTGAAATTGAAGCGGCAGAGGGCCTGAGGGAGAGAAGAAATCACTGGCCCATATCCTTGGCTGTTGTCATAGAGTTCAAAGAGAGGGGCAGCAACCAGTTTGTAGTTACGGGGCACAGCAAACAAAGCCTTCTCGCCCAGTTGGACAAGAAACATCTTCTTGTGTTCCTTGGGCTTGGTGATGTGTGGTGGGATGTAGGGATACTGTGGTGGCTCAAAATTAGGTCGCCACCAGTTGCCAATGGTGTCCTCAACAATCCAGTCCGGTGGAGCCCCATCTTGGCGGCCTAGGGTCTCAGTTAAAAGTCTCTTGAGGCCCTCAATCTCATCTTCATCATTGTTCAGCTCCCCTCCAGGCAACTTGAAAAAAGTGGTACCAAGCTGGAGGAGTAAAACATGTGGGAGTCCATGCTCATGGACAAGGAGAACCTGTAAGAAAGACATGCAGCGCTTTTCAAATATTGTCAGAGTATGATGATTTTCATAGCTAATACTGCCCCCAATGAGGAGACTAACCCCTTCTGAGTAGTTGCCAGAAAGCCCCCATAAGAAAGAAAATATCCTATCCTCCCTTCTTATGGGAACATGTAGTAAAAATGAGTAAAATTTTTGTGCAAGCCAGAATTAAAATTGGTTTCTGAAAAGAGACAGTGCTAGTCAACAACTAATGAGAAAGCACTCTTTTACATTTTTTGTCATCATTGAAAAAAATAATTAATCAGTTAATCAGCAAATAATGAAGCAGAGGTTTATTAAACTCATTCACAGGTTTTTCAGAAACTTTATCACAGGAAAATAATCAAAATAAAAGGAGTGCATAGGCAAAAAAAAGAAAAAGAAAAAAATACTTTTAAATATATATATTTCCAATTCTAGGAAAACCTTATTTGACTTGGGGAGAAATCAATGCAACTGAGACCATGTTTCCAGAGAGCCAAGGTCATGTACCAAGTTTCATCCAAATCAGAGATCACCTGAAAAAATTTCCTCAAAGTGTATCAATTTTCATGTGGAATAAACCATAAGAAATAGTACAATGGGGGAACAGAAGAATGACATCATGTTGACACCCTAAATAAAGTCCAACTAATTGTTAGACAATCATTTAGGGATATATAAAATGTATGTTTAAGCCAAATCTAATGGAATTTGGATTAGGCTTTTGTTCAGAGTTAGCTCAGGGTGAAAGATTTTTGCCTCTTATTACCAGTTGTTGAACTGGTTCTGCATCCTACATTTCCAACATACACATAATCAAGTGGCTGGCTGACTGTTTTGAAGAAAATTTCACACCAAGATGTTCCCATTGCAAGAGCTTAACCCTTTTAGTGCCCTTGACAAATTTTTTGGCCATATGTACTCCTGCTTAAATCGCCCAAGGCCTATTTTTCAGCCACAGCTTTTCATTAGGTTTCTTCCTTCAAGTACTCGGGGTTCTTGCTGCTATATGGCTTTAAAAAAAATCAGCCCACAGCATTTTTGGAAGTTGCACACCTGGCCGAAAATTCGGCCACACAACACTAAAAGGGTTAAAACTAGGAGAAAACAAAGTTTCAAATTGATCAAAATTATAACCAGCTTGTTTACTGCTGATGACACATGTCAAAAACTAATAATATCATCACTCATCAGGAGTGAATGTGTTTATAATTTCCATGGAGAATACTACTACTACTAGAAAAAAAATTTTTTTGTCATGTTTCTGACTGGGAGAAACTGACCCCTTCAACACTCCGGCGTGTGCCGACCTTGACGAACTCCTCCCTCATCCTCTGAAAGCGAGCCTGGACAGAAGGATCTTTCTCATAGAGGGGATCCTTGGTTCCAAAGGTATAGTTGGTGAGTGGGTAGAGGCTAATGCTGCGATTGAGTGTGAGGTGACTCTTGTCAGCCATGGGTGGGGTTGTCCCACTCATGTTGGCACTCTTGGATGTTCTTGGCCATCCGTGACCAGGGCCTCCCATCATGTGACACCTAGAGTTTCTCTTTTCACAACTGATTTCCATGAATGACAATGGCATCAATGTCAAAAAAGTACTCTTAGCACAAAATAAGGGCTAATGAATAATTGACCAATGCTTTGCATTCAGAAATTCAACTATCAGGAGGTTTTTCCTAAGTCTCTTTGATACTCAGCTGCAGAGGGGGAGAAATATATTGTCCCACTCTGTACTGATTGTTAGTTGTTCATCATTAGGATTTCTTTAGTGGGTTGCTCTTGACCTCAATGCTTTGATTCTGTTCCATTTGCATAGTGAAGACTGGCAATTCTGCATCATTCAATAAGGGTATGATGGTGAACTGAAACAATGATACTGAAATCAGGATATTCCTCTTAGAAGATTATAGTATGACCTAGGGCTAAGGGTAAGACTGTGAAGATATTAAAGAAAATTGTGAATACTATTGAAGAATAGAGAACTATTGGCTATGGATGAAAAAAATATAATTCATTTACTTTTCAAAATAGACCACTGTGTGAAAAGAGTTGAAGTACTGGTTGCAAAATGAGCCTATATGTTTGTTGTTGAGGCCTGAGCAATTGTTTCTTTAACATATATTCCTGGGGGAGCTGGCTGCCTCTTTTTATTGGCATCAAAGAATACCAAAATCTGCTGAAAATGATTGTAAATTCTGTAGAGGTCTACAATTAATAATTGTTATTGGCAAAAAATTTCACAAGGGATTAGAACCAGGCAGTCAACTTAAAACTAGGAGGACCTATCAATGGGAAACCAATAACTTTGAAAGCAATGACAATTACTCAAAAGGTCATCTATCCAGTTCATGCGATACATATTGGCAAATACTTATGTTTAGATGATGATTGATGAGATTGATTCTTTCTTTTGGAAGAATGCAGCAAAATGAATGCAAACCAGTAAAAACAAAAGTATTATACATAATCCTATCATACACATCCTCTCATATTGCTTATAGGAACAGAGGAAGCAACGCTTGCACATCAGTACCACGACTGAGTACTCTGACCTTAATGCTTCTGAAAGTAGCAGATGACATCTCATCTTTCTGAAGCAACATTTCTCTAGAAAATTCTGAATTGACCTTGTGCTGGACAAGGAATAAGAGAAAGACAATCATTTTTGTATTTATCATGAGTCTTCAATGAATGCAATAATTGGAGGAAAAGTGATTCCCCCCAAAGAGTGGGGTACAACAGCATGATGCATCACAAACATGAAAGCCACTCTTTAGCCTACTTGAGGCTTAAAAAAAAAACTAATGAGTGGGCCAAATGAGGCCTGCAATGTCTCAACCATGTCTTGAGTCCAAATCCAACATTATGGTTCTACAGACCAAATTCCAGAACTTTAGGTAGTCTGCTCAAACACAACATGAAACTCATTGAATATACAAATAAATAAATAATTTAAAATGAATGAATGCACGAGGTAAGTCAAAGGATCATAAATCAACCAATAAATAGTTCTCATGTAAGTATGATTCTCAATCCCAGAATATTTTTTTCAATGAAGCATATGAGGTTTCCATTTCATTAACAAAAACACTTTCAATTTTCACTATTCTCAAAAAACAGGTCACCAATAAAAAGTAACTTCCAAATGAGCCATTAGAAAAAGGAAGATATACAGATAATCAATAGCTTAGAGCAAAACTTTACATACAAATCATTATGTCACTTGGAAATAACTTTTCCTCAAAACACAATTGGCAGTATCCTTTGTATTAATTTGATAGTCTTATGACTAAAAATTTCTTTATATTTTCTTTCTTTAAGCATTATTCAAATTGTTACAATCTCAAACTGTGTTGTTTTAATACTGGACAACTGAAAGATGAATCACATTTAAACATTTCACATTGGTAGGTATTTCATCTTGAAGGACCTCTTAGCAAGATATTTACTCATCATACATATCATGCTCTCCTTTTTCGAGGCCGTCCCCTCCTCCGCTGCAAGGATGAGGGCACAGCAATTCCTTGCTGTCTCATGTGCCTTACAAAGTGCTTAACTGGCAGCTTCTTCTGCTTCTTGGCTGTGATTTGGGCTTGTAGCAGTTCTTCCAGCTGGGTTCCCTGAGATGCCAACATGGAAAGAAAGGTCTTGACAAAAGCATCATAGTTGTGTGTCCGTCGACAGTCATCCACGCGGTACTTGCGTCGCTTCTCCATCTCATCCTTCAATTTCTCCTCGTGCTGAGTGATCTCTTCATCCAGGGATCGAATGAAGGCCACCAGGTCCTTCACACTAAAGCCTTCCACTTTGGCTCCTTCTTCACTTCCTGACTCATCAGCAGGGGAAGATAGAGATTCTGTCTCTGGCAAACCATTCATTGCTGAAGCACTAGGCGACAGTGAGGTCACTGGTTTCAAAAGACCTTCCATTTCAGGTTCCTTTGGGGTGATTGTGAAAGTGTGCAGCTTCTCTCTCAGTGCATTCACAGCAATTTCTTTGTTTTTTCGTAGGTTCCGAAGCTTCGTGTTGTAGGACATACGTCTGTCAGAGACCACAGCCATCAGGTTGAACCGAATGTCACTAGTGGCATTGGTGAGACGATGTGTGATCACAGATCGAAACTTCTCAGTCCAGTCCTCGCCCTGATCCCAAGGACCATGATCAATTGGGAATGGCTTCAGCCCATCCAATTCATAAAGGCGACCCTTAATTGGCACATAACTCACAAAGTGAAAGGCTTCTGCAGATGCACGTCCAGAGGAAGGCAGATGTGAAGACGCTGAAATGATTCGTGGCCGTCTTGCCTGTGGGGAAGCATGGGCATTGTGAGCATGGGCCAGTTCAGGAGTATTCCCAATGGCCCAGCCTTTATTCTCTGGGCTCATCCCCCCAGTGAGTGCTTGAAGACGAGTCAGGGTCCCTCCCAGGTGGATCCCAGACCAGTTGAGCAGGACTGAGAGCAAGGCATGTGTTGCACAGCTGTTAGGCACAACCTGGTGGGCAAAAAACATGTTGTTGATGGTGTCCTCGTCTCGCACAAACGTCTCATCGTCCTCTGCCATCTTGCGTCTTGATCGGCGCTCCTCTATCCACCGAAACAAGAAGATGAATCCATATACTGGACCATCAAAGGGTTTTTGGATATCATAAATCTCCTCCACTTGTACCCCTTTCACACCAAAATCTTCTAAGAGCAGTGTGAAGAGACCTGGATCACTCTCAAGCTCAAGCCACCCCTCAGTCAACCTATTGATATCCACAGGCATGGTCTGCCTACTGAGCAACCTAGGAGGAAAGCATTTTCATTGAATGAGATCATGAATTGCTCGTTCTGACATGTCCAAATTTATAATGCATGACTTCTTTAACCAAGAAAAATCTTCACTAATTACTTCATTTAATATGGACACCAGAAATCTCTGTGGAAAATATAAAAAAAAACTTGCAGGTATCAGCAAAAAAGAGGAAAGTACAAATACATAAAAATGGAGTACCAGACTGCACAACTTCTTGTACCTGTAAAAAAAAAAGCCTCATAATTCATGCAACTTTTTTTTTGGACAGGACCACAAAACATTTTCTGGAAATGGCCTGTTCCAACCATTTCAAACAACCTCTGAACTTAGTTGACAGCAAAAACCTATATCAAGAGCAAAACCAAATCAACTAAAAATTGACTATACCTTCATAATATGCATAACTTACTTCAGATGTTGGAAAGCATTCCTGTAGATTAGCTTTGATGCAATTTCCAGATGATCTCTAGAAGGACTCCTTCTGATGCAGGTGCTGGTATGTGGATGTAGAGAACATGTAGATCTATGTGATGACTACTTCTTCCAGTAGTCCCTTTCTTTAACCTTACCACACTAACCTGTGTGGGCAGAGGCCAATGCCTCAAAATACTAATGTATGACAGCAATTACCACTACATTGCCAGAACAAGATCCACCAACCTAAATGATTGGTAAAAGTCATCCAGTCACAAGATCACTAAAACAGGACTATTTTAGGAGCAATATTCTGCAAGAAATATGGACTCTTAAAGTTCAGGAAATTAACTCTTGGAAGTCCAAAGATGTTGAAGTGGTAGGTGAAGCAAAGGGAAAGTAGATTGAAGCAACTCCACCCTTGGGCTTCCAAGGGTTGAATGAGACACACAGATGTGGATGTTCAGCTTAAAATCTCACCTGGATCACAGCTGTAAATTCAAAACTAAGAAGTTGAAAAGGGGGATTTCAGATTGGTTTTCAACTGGATTGGAGCTGGAATTGCCTACTGGGAGTTTATACAGTTGAAATAGCACTAAATTCATGGCTATGATCCAGCCAAAAATAATAGCTGTTTCAAACTAATATAATAGGATGAGTAAGTTTGTTGATGACATACAAGCTCTAGTTCCTAATTCATAGTGTGAATGCAGCAAGCAAATAACATAAGCTTAGATCTATTGCATAAAAGGAAAAAGATAATGGTCAAATAACACAGAAGTGGAAGGAAACGAGACAAGCACGATATCAGCATAATGGCTTCTCCAAAAACCCAAGTACAGTCCTGGTTGGTTAGTGTTGTTTATACCTAAAATTTTATTGCTTTGTATATTCATAAAAATCAATATATAAGCCACAAGTAACTAGTGCATTGTATAATCAGCCCCTACCATAACTGGCTTTGAGACCTGATGCCCCCATTGACAAAACAAAGGTAGCATTGCAGATGTAAGCAACTTGACAGTAGGCGGTTACGCTACCACAAAAATATCTATCTCTAGGAGGGGTAGGCCTATCCTATGACGATGAACGATCAACTTTGCGCCGGGTCGTCATACTGTGCGAATTCGCCTCTTGACGCCTATAACCAAACTTTAAAGCTTTGAACCGCGATCCTTAGCGGATACCAGAAAAATACCATACTAGCAAGTGAAACAGTTCTACCCGCCTCGACAAGTGGGATGTGATGAATATTGTGTCACGTCAAAATCCTTAAAATTGTATTGAACAAGTCCTACCGTGACCAGCACACAGACCCAGGCTGCCGCCGCTTCTCAGCCCAAGCTCACTCGTGGGGGAAGACATGACCAGAACAGGGTAGTTCACGGAGGGGACCAGAGTCTTCCCTGGAATAGGGGCTCAGTCAAGAACGCATTCCATCTAACGTTCTCAAAGTACCCAAAATAAATTTTAAAACATTTTAAATGCGTTAGCAAAACTGTATTATGTCTAACATTGAATAAAGCAGTCCGAAAGAACTCGGCATGCGTTATTGATCCCACCCGCACATTGGCATCCCTACAAACTTGGGACGGAATCAGCAAAATGTCGATTTCGGCTGCCGTTGGAGACCACGTGTTCCAGACCTGGTTTCGAGGTTCGAAGGTTCCATTGGGGACGTCAAAAGGCATTTTTGCCCCTTAGGAACGTACCGTGTTCACGGCGCGGCGCAGCACCTACACCTAACGCGTTCCACGCATTCTATACCAGACAAGTAAAAAAAGTGATACTGCAACCGCGGTTTCGCTTGAGGTTCACGAGACTTGAATTGATTATTTCGCGTAACGCCTCTGCCATCAAATATGAAAAACCTACTACCGTAGTAGGTTTTTATCCCCATGTTATCGATCCCTCTCATGATGGATGTGTGGATACCCCCCCCCCCCGTGCGTTTTTTCTCTTGAGCGAATACTACAGTCCAATGCTTCTAGATGTCTCTCATTACGTGTTATACACACACCTGCATACCAATATGCACTCACGTGACGGGAGCACACCCGTATCTGTGCTGCATGACAGGCGAGCCCTTCATTCCGTGTGCTCCGATCACTGTCATGCAGGGCCGCCCAGAGGTTTCCATAGGCCCAGGGCAAAACTAAACCGGAGGCCCTTTGGAGGCCCCCTTCAGGCTCCTTGATACGCGAGGATCGGGGTAGATTGTCTTCACTGCCCCCTCCTCCCCTCTTCTTCTGGGCGACCCTGTTGTCATGTTCCTCACGTATGCGAGAGCGAAGTTTGCCCACACATCCTCGCCCATGTCTGAGACTATCTAGAGCAGTGGTCCCCAAACTTGTTAAGGCGAGGGCCTCACAGAAACTTTGGTCAACCTTGAGTGGGCTGCACTAATAACGATAGTCAACCTAGAGTGGGCCGCATTGAAAAATATGCAACACTTCTGCATGTTTAACCCTTCATCTAGCCATCAATCTCGCGGTCAAGCTACTCTAAACCAGGAAGTCCTACATAAAAAATGAGCAGCAATCGAAAACTGCTTATTCCTGACGCATCCACCCACACCTCGCGCAGTCACGGAAACTGCCGGCCGCTACTTGGAGTCAGGGCTTATGTAAACGCATCGGTTCTAGGTGCTGCTTTGTTACAAGTTGTATTTTCGATAAATATTCCTCTCTTTTTTTTCTCCTTAACTTCACGTACTTGCGAGGAAATACTTTTTTTTTTCCTGCAGTATATGGATGCTCCGAATTGTAGACAAGTTTAGGCAAGGTGCACATCTAAATACATAATCATAAAAATTTTAGCAAGTGTTTGAATATCTAAAAAAAAAAAACATGACTGAACTTGCTAGTCCTCAGCGAAGGATTCCTAATTTGGAATTTAGAAACGTGATCGTCGCGATTATTCTTGAGTGCCGATAAAACGGTTAAAAGTGAAAAAGTCAATTATTGTTTACTCTTAGTGGGCCGCACTTTGAATACCACTGATCTAGAGACTCCGAGCGAGAGACACGTGTGTAGCTTCCACAGTGGCGTATTCTGGCTGAAGGGTCAGGGGGAGCAGGGCTACAGAGCGGGACGCCAAACCCCACCCGAAAGATATAAAGGGAGAAAATTGTTACCTCCCGGGGGGGGGGGGGGGGCGGCTGCCTCCCCGTAAAATACGCCATTGAGCTTCCACCTTCCAAGATTTCAGAACGATTGTTGCGGTAGTACATGGAGCTGCATTCGTTGGCGGCCACCTGTACATTTCATGGATTGCTCGAACCGAAGCTGGAATCGATTCGGTGGAGGTTGGTGCTCTAAAGGTTCCCTATATCCTCCAGATGTCCACGCGCCATGAATCCCACGTGAATCACATGAGATTCTGCCTCGTTCACTTCTCCCGTACTTTCCCGTTCACCCCGGACAAGAGCGATCTTTATCTCATAACCCCCTTCGCACTGAATGGGGTTCAGATTCAATACCCATATAAACTGGAAAATGAGTCCGGCTTTGGAAAAAGTGGGTGCCACATCCCTCATCAAGTAAGAAGCCAAATAAATAAATAAATAATTTTAACCTCATGATTCTTATTCAACTTCACTCTAAAAAATGCTGGTTCCTGTTTGCTTTCACGTTGCCCAATACCAGAGGTGTGCAACCTTTATCGGCAGCGGGCCGCATGGAAATGTGTGACTTTCGACGCGGGCCACAGAATGCAAATGAAAAGGCTCCCCTCTTTTGTCCTCGGGGCATATGAGGGCATAAGGTCGCGCTGATTGGCCTATCATCCTTACCTCCTCCCCACCCCTAGGAAATTCCAACGTCCAAAAATAGCCCTTGGCATTGAGAACCTACTTCCTCAGGACATACGTAGCATTGCCCGCATGAGGAAAATAAGAAGGAAGTGAAAGGACTCGGTCTATTTCTTGTTATCTAAGGGATGACCAAAATTGCGATGAGCCTTCGGCCGCCAAGAAACTCATCTGTTATCCCATTATGCATTACTGGGCCGCAGGAAGCAGGCCCACGGGCCGCGGGTTGCGCATCCCTGCCCTATACCCTATTGAAGAAACTAATTAAGTTGTCCAGATACACAGATACGCTGTGTCTCTCTCCCACCTTCACGGTCTTGTGAAAGGTTACGTCGTGAAGAACGTAACAGACAAACCAGTTAATTGTCAGATGAACTTCGACGACATAGAATCATTTTCTCTCCACCCGCATCGGTTTCATCGAGGAGACTTTGCATTTTGTCGATGAACTGGGCAAAGATTCATCGTTTCGTTCGGTACTGGACGGACATTGGGATCGTGAACGGAATCGCAACCCTTGCCATCTCGGACGTCCCGCTCCGTCAGAACGCCCGCAGAAAGGGACACGGTCGACGAAATCATTATGATGATATCGGTCTAGGACAGACCTTGCATCCTTTGCTAAGAAGTTTCGGTAACCCGTTCTCGAGAGGACAGCAAGGGATGTAGAACGTATGTCGTCATTCATGGCGTCACCGCAGTTTTTAAAACGCGCGAGGAAGGCGTCTAAGACATGAAGGGGCACTTTCAGCCGTTCTCGAGGGAACGTCATTGCGGCGCAAAGCCAAGCTCCACAAATCAGGAATCGCGTGGTCTGTGACTCAGCGTCTGTCGTGTGGATTCGTTTGAGTCAGTCCTCGTTTGGAAGGCGAATGCATACCTGTGTCGTGCTGAAGCTGGCACCTAATATAATCACAGTCAAAGGCCTACCTGTTTAAGGTGGCCAGATTTCTGTGTCGTGAAAACGGGACACCATATAAATACTTACCCTTGCCTCTTAAAAAAAAAAAGAGTGTATTTGATCACTGACAAATATATTTATTGTAGAAACATGAATTAGAACTGGTATTCTTGAAACTGGAATTGTGCTTTCAGCATTTTACTTATCAAGGGAGGAAAGTGGAACTGTCCCTTCGGGGCGTCTGGTCACCTTCAAGATACGTTATACAGGGTTTCCCTCTTGAAAGTAGCCCGGCAAGTAATTCCGCATTGTTTCCTGTTGGAAGCTATCTTTCGCCAGAGTTGCGACGGTTTCTTGTGGTCCCGCAGGAGAGGCTCAAAGGCGCATGCGGTCATGACACGTGTGGCAGGTTGGGTGGAAGGGGTCAGTCGAGCTGCGAAAGCTTCCAGAACGGTACGAGTTTGTGTTTCTCGAAGTAGGCAGTCGGTGTTGTGAGCAATGTGGTTTTCATTACGGCAGCGGATTTTTATTCTTGAAAGTTACATTGAAAGCAAAGTTCGCAAGATTAGTGGCGAAAAGCTTGCGGAGAAGTCATTTCGAGGGGAAGGAAATTTTTCTAAATGAATTTTCTCTCTTCGACACTTTCCTAAAGTGGGACAATCGGGCGTCCTGCTTAGGACGCCGGGACAGGTGGTCTGAAAGTGGGACTGTCCCGCCTAAATCGGGACGTCAGGTCACCTTATACCTGTTATCCCGAGGAACGAGATCGCAAGATCCTTTTTGTTGCAAGAGGGGTGATCGGAAAGCCTTTGAGGGCGACTGCCAACATTTCATTTCAATGTATTCCTCGATTAAAGATGGTTTCTAGGTTTTTTTTTTTCCTTTAATTTTCTACCACAGGGTCTGTTGAAGGGGTTTTAAATTGAGACGAACTCTGATTAATTTTCTAACCTCTAAGGAGTCGATCTCCAAGCAGGTCTTTCAAAGAAGGGTCAGTAGGTCTATCCTCTTCGCTTCCGAAGGTTCTGCTGGAAAGGTCTTTTGTCATTTTTAAATGTAGAAAATTTTAAAATGCAATATCTCAGAGTTAGGTTTTTTGAGTTCTGATCGTCTTGAACTGGGAAGGCGATACGTGTGCTGCATGTCGTCGGCGCGAAAGCTCTGAAACTATTTAGTTTCCTCTCGAACTCCGTGACTCGATTCATGAACTCTTGCTCAATTTCAGAGGGTGTTCAGACCCAGAAGACACCTCTTCCCCCCCCCCCCCTCCCTGGCTTCGTCCCTGCCAGGTGGAGAAGGGAAAGTCTTATCCAGGAGGAAAAAATATCACCTGAAGGTGATATTTTTTTTAAAACGCATTGAAACGATTTAAAACGGTAAAAACGCATTGAAAAGCAGAAAGGGGTTCATGAACCCCTTTCTGCTTTTCAATGCGTTTTTACGTGCTGAGCGTTGTCTGGGTGTCTAAAAAGCAGATAGGATGGAATTTTACCTACTGTCGTCCGCATCTTGTCTAATGTCCGATAGAATTTTCCCGATCATTCGCCATTATTGCAACGGCACAGGACAGCAGTAACAGAGCAGGACGATAGTAACAGACAGGACACTACATAAAAGGTTCCTCTCCCATCTCTCCAATTTCGGTCCATGCTTCCATTTTCGAAAGAGAAATCGCATATTTCTTTACAGGAGAGGGGCCGTTCAAGAACGACAGTCCACATCCCATCGTTTCATCGGATTACAGTCATAAAAAATTAATATTTGGCTCTTCGGCAAAACTGCATTATCTTCTGCAGTTGGAAAACAGTTATTCATCGGGAGATTTGAGGGTGGGTTAAAAGTATGTGAATCTCGATCAATTATTTAGGTTGCGATTACGGTTGGCAGCCCGAATACATACACAGTATATACTAGTCGAAAGCCTGAGTACACATAGGGTGTTTAGATGCTAACCGATGACGCGGACCATTGGATGGGAATAGTTTGGGAGAATAGGCATTCTGATGAGTATTCGTAGTGGAGCTGAGATATAGGGTGTCCCACTTGAAATTAACCCGGCAAGTCATTCCGTCTCGTTCGCTATTGAAGGCGTCTTCAGTCATAGTTGCGATAGTTTGTTGTGGCACCGCAGGAAATGTTAAAGATTCATGCGGTCATGACTCGTATGGCGGCAGACTGGGAGATAGGGGTTAGTCCAGCTGTGAAAGCTTCCAGTACGGTACGCGTTCGTGTTTTTCAAAGAGCAGTAAGCAGTCTGTGTTGTGAGCTATGCGGTTTTCATTGCAGCGGCGGATATTTATTGTCGATAATTGAAAGCAAAGCTTACAAGATTTGTTGTAAAAATTTCGTGGAGAAGCATCCCGATGTGAAAGTGCCAGCAAAACGCGCCAAACTAAAATGGCAAAGTGGCGGGAAAGAAGTTCCGTACGGGATGAGACACCGACTCGCGTTCGAACCGTGCGGAATGAGGAAACTGCTCATGACATACAAACACGAATTGAGGATGGCATGCATAGAATTTTTAAAAGCTTACGAATGACCGTCTACAAAATCACTGTCGAAGTTCCCTCGTTCCGCATGAGTCTTTAAGCATTTCCTGCGGTACTACAACTATTGCAACTATGACGAAAGACGGCCTCCAATAGCAAACAAGACGGAATGACTTACCGGGTTTCTTTCAAGTGGGACACCCAATAGAAACTGCCCCCCCCCCAGGTCCTGCCCACAGCCAATGTTTAGTCAGTAGACCGAGGCTAGGAGGTAGGGCCTTGAGAGTCAAAATTACCGCATTCATATCATACAGGATCAGCAATGAATGCGTTCATGGATGGTTTCAAAGTCATACTCCGTTTATATCCGTTCCAAGGTTTCCACTCGACTCTGTCTTGGGTTATCGCGTTAGGACAATACGGTCATCTATAATATGGACTATGGACAAAATTAGAGATCGCGCATCATTCTTCCATTGTATGGTAAGGCCCAATTTACATTGTTTCCGGATGGAATTCGAACCCCCCTATAGGGGTGGTTCCATCGACTGCAGGTAGTGACATCTTACAAACGGGTGGTTAAGTCTATTACCCGATGGGGTAATACCCGATTACTCTGGAAATTTGTGTTCTCTCCATTCTCCTCTATAGGGGGTGGTACAAATTCAATCCGGAAAAGGCGTGGAGAATCGTGTTCGATTCTGAAGGTTGGCAAAGAAAAGGGATCTAACGACGCTCGAGGGGATTCAGATGCGGGTCACTCGAATCATAAAATATGGTTGAGACTCTACTCGTTCGAAAGACTGGTAACGAGGGGACTTCGTCTAGGCTTCCACACGTGATTGTGGGAATCGATCACGTTGAGCGAGATAGATATTTCCAACTCCAAGGTAACTGCAGAACGAGATGTAATTGCTTAACTTCATATTAAACTCTGATCGCGGAATTCTTTACTCGTCGTGTAAGTGCAGTGTAGCATGTGTGCATGAAATGCGTTTGTTGTGGTTGCCCCGCGCCGTGACAAGCTTTAACATGGGGTTAGATGCCTACACGGCACAACAAATAAAAGAAGCAATTTAGCTGAAATTGACATGGCTATATACTTCCACGAAAAAATAGCAAGTTTAAAGAGCAGTAGGCCTATCATATCTATGAACGCAGGATCTCGACCCAGGACGTGATAAAGGTCAAGTGTTTCTCTTAATATCTCCGTCCAAACCTTGAACCATGCCTAGGCTGTCAGCGCACAGCGGGTTAAGTAGGTGAGCGCAAAGACCTTGGGTGAGCGAGCACTGCAGTGATGCCGCATTAAGTGCTTACGGAATAGAAGAACGTGATTATGGATACCATGGCGACAGTTTCACCGTAAGTAACAACATAATGTGATGTGTAAATTTAAGAACAAATTGAAAGATGAACTGGGATTAATCTGTAATGAAAAGCACCGCTTTCAAGGCGTCTGCATCCTTGGAAAGAGGGCGAAACAAACATGGCATGGCAGCGCACTGGATTCACACTAGCTGCATACCACACTATCATGATTCAAGGTGTCATGGCATTACGAGTCATGGGCTAGTGATGACTGTACATGGTCTGCAGTGCTTGACGCGCACAAGACTCTGGGTGAGTCCAAGCCAGTGATAAGGTGCGCATAGGCCTAAGCTTACTAAGGGCTAGGCTAAGGGATGCTTTGAATGATGTATTCATACTTAACGTTACCATGAGACGCTATGGCATTACAAGGAACTCGCCAAAAGGTCAGACTTGGCAAATGCCCGAAAAGGTCCACCCGTAGTTGAGTTTACAGGCTTAAACTTTTAGGCATAGTTATAATGTTAAAGCGAGAAGCTTTTGTTGCTGCCTCTGGATTGCAGTTTCAACTGCTGTTGGTGGGCTACAAGAAAATATCGGCTTCGTTCAAATGGGTGTGCAAATCGGGAATGCTCTGCAGCTTTTCCTATGCAGCTGGGATGAAACTACATGTGATGAAAATCATAGGTTACTTTTTACACAATGTTGAATTGACAAGGAATGACCTATGTGTGTCCCAGTCCCAAAGTGTTATATCAGTTTTGTTAGAATAATAGTGAATTTGAACTGATGTTAGTTCTGCTCGCAGGTGATTATGACTTGTACCATCATGTCAAAATTGGAGAAAGCTATAGAAGTGGGATCTCTGATGCCTTTAGATTATCGTCATGCATCATGAATGAATATGCTCTATTTGAACAGGTCCTTCATGTGTCATACTTTTCTTGTTTAAAAACTGGGAAAATGGAGTCCTGGAAGGTGTCCAAGAACCCATTTATAGATGAGGATGATGATGATGAAGGTGTAAAGGATGATGAATTCCTTCATCATGCCAAGTCTGGGAGTTCTGGGTATATGTTTCCAGAGTATATGACAGATGAACAGAAAAAAGCAGCTATTTATAAGGAAGAGCTCCTAAAACAGAAGAGATCAATTGAGGAACGGACCTTGCAGTCTTCTGCTCGATCTGTGGGACTCATTTATGACAGTGAACGTATTGGCACGGAGACAGCTCAGGTATGTGATTTCACCTTGTTTCAAGTACAAGGTGCCACCATCAGGCAAGCACCACATGAATCTCTTTTGCTTGACTGTACCTTGTATGTGTTTCATGAATAGGCATATGTATAAGATACTTCATTAACATTTATTCTAGGTTTCATGACAAATCATATTGTAAAATGAATATGAATGTAAACATAAGAATGGTTCTACAGAGTGTAGATGCACCAAATGACATCTCAAATTGAATAGAGGCTCTTCTGTACTTGCAAAAACTTGAGATAGTCCTCTGAGGTACTCATGGTTCCCTTAATTTGTTTCGAATGATGTACATTTTATTTTAAGAAAAATTTTATTTATAAGGATTAAATTATGTCAGAATTCTATTCTTTCCATTTCTCATGATAAGTTAAGTCAGAATTGATTTTGTTGCTTGTAAAGCTTCATTTGTATTTGCTTTGTTCCAAATATCCATGTGTACACATGTCTATTGAGTTCTTTTTAAAAAACTGAGTTGGTCATTTTCTTGGGCTGGTCCTAGGCTGTTGCCCAGGACAGTATAAAAAGAGTCTCTACTTCTAGCTCCTAAAAAAATGGGAATCCTAACTTTCTTCCATAATAAGAAGCTCTATTGGTAAACCTTCGTGTTGGAACTTCATTCTCCTTTAATTCCTCCCCCCCCCCCATGCAAAAAATGAGTATCATATGCATGGATGTTATTCTGCTTTGATATTCTAAGAATGTCTCTTCTTGGCATTGCATAGTCTTAGCATCTTAAATTTACCATGATAGGCTCAAGTTTGGAGTATATTTGTCTCCTAACACTGAAGTTAAAAGTATTTTGCAGGAAAGCAGCACTGATTTAAGATATCTTACATATTCCTCAGATTCTTTGAATGCTCTTTCATATTCTTGAGTTCCATAGCCTATTTCTAATGATGCAAACTTGAAAAGTTCAGCTAAGTTGAACATTTAAGAGCCTTTGAATGTGCCAATTCACATTTTTTATGGAATCAGAACAACTCATCCCCATTGAGAGTTCTGTTTGACAGTTAAATCTGGCCAGCCTAGATCATATAGAAAATTATGTCCAGAATGGTAAATGGTAATCCTGTCACAGTTTATCATCGTCATTGCACCTTGTGTATCATCAATTAATTGTTGCACCTCTTTCTTAGTCATCCTTTCACAAGATCAAGAGTGTCTCCAAAATACTATAATGGTGGCAAAGTGCTGCACTTCCTGAAATGTCTCATTTCATCTTGTCATGTTAACACCAGTGGACAATTTTTTGCTTCAACTGGAGTTTTACCCATTACTTATGAAAACATCTTGTTGTCTCTGCTTAATCCCAGCTTGCTTGGCCTTACTTGTTCCTAGAGGCCTAACATGAGAACTGATGTGTCCTGACTTTTGAAGACTTCTTGTTTTTGTGATTTGGAGTAGCAGATATGACTCTGAAATTCTGTGATCCAAGATGACATGGCATCACTTATTAGGTGAATGCTATACCTAAAGAACAACCAGGATGAAAAAACAGAATATGGAGAATTGGGAGAGAATGGATTCATTGATTTAGCCAATCCATGTACAAAGGCACCTTTAGCCAGTCAAAATTATTTTAGTTGCTGCTACTTGTATCACAGTATTCCAAACTTCTATTACCTCACTTTAATCATACAATGGGTATGTGATTGTTTCCTTCCACTACTCCAGGAACTGTTAGCACAGCGTGAGAAACTCGAGAAGAGTGAGCATCGATTGGATGACATCAACAACTCCTTACGAACTTCTGAACGTCACATTCAGTCCATCAAGGTATGATCATTATAATTTTTTTTTATGGCGTTGCTCCCAATGACCATGCGGTCCATACTTCCAGGTCATTCCCACGTGGAAATTCCGTATATGACAGGGTGTATAATTCTATATGGCCATGTATAGTCATATTGGCAATATACCACCATATATGTATTCATATATTATCAATTGTTTGGTTTATAATATATATTATCTGTATTACAATATCAAAAGTTATGGGCTAATGGCATTATGTCTGACATGTGGTGAATATCCACAGGCAAGTCTTATGGTAGTTAGTGAATGCAGCATGAGATCAGTGGGCCAGGGGGTAGGGCAGCTGAGGGGGAAGAGTCCTCAAACCCTACCCAAGTGATATTGGGGGAGAAAAATCATGCCTCCAAAGGGGTATCAAGCTCCATCCCAGGGGATGCCAGGGGGGGGGGGGGGGGGGGGGGGGGGGGGG